GATTCTTACACTTTTCATCAACCACTATGATTTTGTTAGAAGATGGTAGATGTAACAACCTCAAAAATACAAACCAATTTTTCATAAATTATTAAAACCATTATCATGGTAGAAAATTTTCTTACCATGATACATCCAAAACATAACACAAGTCTTAAAATATCCAAAAAGGCAATTAGAACCATGAGGGACAGACATAATCCTCATGGTCATATAAATACTTTAATAAAAAGAATTAGAGTTTACATGCTCCACAAAGAAGATATGTCCTAAGTTGGCACAAGATACATTGTATAATCCAAAATAAGAGGCAACGTAAAAGATAGTGTCTCATACACCATAATTACACCTCTGGTGCTTTCTCGGCCGGACTCGCTCCTGTAAAAATATTAACCACAGGGAATGAGACTTAAAAGTCCCAATAACCAAAAATTAATATGTAATGATGCATGCGGATGTAACTAATCATGCAATTGCTAAGTGGGCACACAAAAACATTTAACCGAACAATATTTCCAAACAAACCGAACAAGTATTTAATTGCATGACTACACCTTATATCCTCCTTTCGCCATGCTCGGACGCCAAATCACCCGGCCAAAGGTGAGTTGGACCAAGCGACACGCCACTCATTGGGTCCAATGAGGGCTTACCACGTGGTAATAATTAACCGAACAGAAATTCCCATTAACACCATACATTAAAATACCCTGACAAGTCATGCATCATTCAAATATCCAAACAGGAATATATCCGAACAATAATATCTCATCATGATAAACAAAAATAAATTTTTGATCCACTTGGCAATAATTTCAAACAAGTAAACAGTATTTATTTTCAATAATTCATAATTTTTCCAAACAACAAGACAACACATAACCATTCACAAACACACTCATCACAACATATTAATAATGGTTACCTTGTGTCTTGAATAACAAGTTCCCCTTCACAACTCCTCTTTCACCACTATATTTGTCAACACAATCTACATAGTTATTTCATAATACTATATATTAATTTTACATTAAAATAAATAACTCTAATTTAAAGAGTTAGAAAGTCTTAGATCTATAATTCATATTAACACTAATTTAAGATTTATGCCTCATTTAACTTCTCAAATTCTTTTCTAAAATTCTGGTACCCTAATAAACTATTTTTAAGCCTCAAATCACTTCTAGTATCACAATTTCATCCTTTTGTATTCTAAACATTCATCCAAAAATAAATTAAAAATTTTAGAATTATCCTGAAGCCTCAAATCACCTTTCTATAACCTCAAAAATACCTACTCATACTTAAATAAATATTTAATAATCATAGGTTTATCCCTACATCTCAGATTCCACATAAATTCAACCATATAGATCTAGATTTTAACTCAAAAATTCTTAAACATGAGTTTCAACCTCAAGAAAATATTCTATAATATTTATTATATCCCTAAGAGTTTTAACCTATATTTTTACTCCATCATATCATCAGATTAACTATCCTATAGAAAAATCCTAATCAGAATATTTACTCTATCCTACAAAATAATCATATCACTAGAAAGCTAATATTATTTAGAAAATAACTATAAAATTAATTTTGTAATTAAATAAATTTTTAAATGCTAATCTAAACAGGAAAGTTAGAACATACCTGAAGACAAAAAAAATAATCCCCCCTTGCGAGAAAACGCCGAGCAACGTGAGAGGAAGAGAGAAAAATAATATAAAAATGGGATTGTAGTCCCAAAATTATATTTAAAAAAAACTATAGGTTTGAATTTAATTATTCAAACCTTTGAGCCAAAAGTTGCAATTTCCTCTAAATTGCATCTTAGCCTCTCATGCTTCCTAATGCACACACCCCCTCCTTTTTATACATGAAGGCACCTCTTCTCTTCCCTCATCTAACCAATGTGGGACTTAGAAACAACAACCTTCCACCCTTTTTTTGTTCCTTCTACCTTCTCTCTTTTTTTTAACACACACATAAAAAAAATTATTTATGTATTATATCTTAACTAAATATTGCTTATGTGGTTTTAAATTTAAATTTTTAAATTTATAATTAAATCCTAACCATAATATTATTTCTAAATAACCTCAAATAATATAAATTCCTATTATTATCATTTTTTTCTCAAAACCTAAATTCCACAATTTCTTTATTATATAAAAATCAGGATGTTACAATGGTTCAATGGTACCAGGTTTAGCCTCAACTTTGTTATGTAGGAGAGGTTGGAGGATCGAACCTGGGGAGGCTCTCCGCAAGGGAAATAATCCGCATACTACTGCGGGGAAGCCTTTGTCTCCCGATGCCTACCGAAAGGCGTGGGGTCGCCCTGTTATGGGGCTTGGGGGGAGAGTGTCTAGTGCCGCAAAAAACCTCGGGGAGGCGGGGTGAGCGGAGGGCTGTTACATTAAAAGGCGCCTTTTATGTAACAGCACGGAGCCACCCCTTGGGCCTCGACTCGGTACTGGACTCTGGCCCATCACTGGACCAAAGTCGACTTTCCCACAGGTGGTACTGTAGTTATTCCTCACCACTGCCTCTACAGGGTCTTTTGGAACCTCCCCAGACTCAAACCTCCAACCTCTACCACCTTAACAAAGTTGAGGCTAAGTCTGGTACCATTCAGTCAACTTGACTCAATGGTATCAGACTTAGCCTCAACTTTGTTAAAGTGGTAGAGGTTGGAGGTTCGAGTCTGGGGAGGTTCCAAAAGACCCTGAAGAGGCAGTGGTGAGGAATAACCACAGTACCACCTGTGAGAAAGTCGACTTTGGTCCAGTGATGGGCCAGAGTCCAGTACCGAGTCGAGGCCTAAGGGGTGGCTTCGTGCTGTTACAGTAGATAACAAAAAATGATTGATTGAGGACTTGTTTGGCTTCTGTTCTCATTTTTTGTTTTTTAAAATTATTTTGTAATACAACATTTAGAATTGTTTTTCATAACAAAAAAAAATCTGTTTAGTTATATTAATTTAAAAAAGTTTTAGAATTAAAAAATAAACTGATAGTGATGATTAATTGATTATAGGTAGTTAATGATGGTAATTTATGATAAAATTGATTAACATAATTATAATTTTTAATAATTAAATGTAGTATATTTTAAAAATAAAAAAATAAATCAAAAACAACTTAAAATTATTTCTATTTTTTTAAGAACAAAAAAATGAAACAATTTTGCAAACAAGTAAATAGAAAATACTTAACCAAACAAGTTTTTTTTTCTGTTTTCAAAAATAAAAATAATTTTTAAAAATAGAAAACAAACAGGCTCTTAAACTTCTGATTTACTTGTATCCTTTATTTTGAGAATGTGATCATATTTCCAGTCCCAAAAAAAATACAATCAATTACGCCAACATTATTAATAAAAGTATTAAAGCAATATAAAAATTACTTATTTGATATAACTATATTAAATATTTCTTACACACTAAAGCAATATATAACCTAAATTAATATATTTATAAAATTAGTAAAATATAAATTGTATTTAGCAGGTTTCAGCAGGAATTTAGCCGTCCTCGCTTATCTCTCAAGTCTTGGTAGACTGATGGTATCGCAGAAGACAGAGGAGTCAATCAAATGCCAAGCAATTCTCTCTCTCTCTCTCTCTCGGCAATAAAATACCGAGCAATTTAGTTGAATTGAATTGTAATCTTCTTCAGGTTGCCCAAAGAGTCAATATTATTATATAACTTATTTATTTTTTTAATTACATATAATTTATTTTTGCTAATGTCAAACCTTGAGGTTCATTCCAACATAAAAAAAAAAATTGAAATTTTCAAAATGCAGGATGCATACTTCCCATTACAGTCAACTTAAGCAGCCATTTCTAAATATTACTAAGGGAGAGTTTCAACTAGGACCCTCAAAAATAAAATAATCACAAGCAAGGTCCAAAAAATTTGAAAAACTTTTGCAGGCTTAAGAACTTAACTTGCAATTAATTTTTTTGGGTCAATTATCAAAATGACATTGCCTTTTCTTTTTTACAAAATAGATAAATTAAGTTTAAAAAATTGATAACTTTTTTTATATATAAGTGATATTTGAATATTTACAAGTACCTGTTTAAATATACATAATAAGGTATCCAAAATATGCCATAAGGAATAAAATACTTGGAAGAAAAAGTTATAATATATATATATATATATAAAATTTTGCACTATACAAATCAAAGTGTTTGTTGGCTCATTGGTTACATTTGATCGATCATTGACTACCACACTGGCACCAAAGCTCCGGCAACGGGATTGTTTAGAGAAAATGCAAGGGTATTTTGATAATTGGACCAAAAATAATAATTGCAATTGAGACCCTTGAGTTCGCATAAGTGTTCCAGGGCTTTTCAGCCTTGCACGCGATTAATTTGTTTCTGAAAGGCCCTAGTTGAAATTCTCCCCATTACTAGTCCACTGATCTCCTTCCCAAAATGTTTAGAGTCCCACTCTCATAAAGTTATTCTATTAATTTAGTCTTTCATAAGATTATATTTTTTTTAATTTAGTCTCTAACAAATAAAATCTTAAGTAATCATACTTTTGTGATGATTTATTCTATGAATTGAAACATGTTCTATTAATGAGAGATTGAAATAAAAAAAAAAAAAAACACACACACACACACACACAGTACAGGGAACCATATCCAATCATGCGGGATAAAAAAAAAGGGGGGGTCTTTATGTGTGCGCGCGTGTGTTATAATCTACTAAATTTTTGGAAAAAAATAACCATACCACAATTATATGAATCAAAACATATTTCACACCTTATACATTATTCAAATAAGAAACAAAAAAGGTAATATTTTCCCAAGCTCTTGCACTTTTTACATCGTTTAAAAGAATAGGGGGAAAAAAACTTACCTAGCTTCGAGCTTGCTCACTCAATGTATTATTTCCTGCTTTAGGAGAAATGTTAACCAAAGTAGCCAAAAGATTAAAAAAAATTTGTGAAGGTAAGTCAACATACGAAGTATGAACTACATTAAAAGCAGAGCATGACTAACTTCTATGTACACTTACAAAATTTAACATCCCTTCTTCTCAGGGGCATTACGACACATTTCAACTGTTATAATCCAACAATCTTTATTTGGATACACTATTTGAAAGTAGAACAAGTCAAAGAACAGGATGAAAGGTAACATACGCAGCAACACCTAAAATTCACTATTATACCATTTTCCTATTTCCTCAAAGTGAGAGAGACCTAACCTCATCTGTTTTCCACAGGCCTTCCTCATACTTGTACCACCTCACAAGCCCTTCATCAGTTCTTGTTCTCTGGCACATGATGCATGAGTCTTGCATGCATGTGAGAAATTCACGTAATCGCGAAGCCTTCTCAAGGATAACGGGATCAATCTCTCTAATGATCCTTTTATGTTGATGAGGTGGAACGGTTTCCATCAGAATGCAATGTGATATGTTGAGCACCTCCAGGTGTTGCAAGCTCTCTAGGATCAGAATGAGAACATCCTTTAACAGTGTTGAACATCGAAGGCTCAATACTCTTAACTTCGGAAGATAATCAGCAATGGATTTAGCGAAGAAAGTATCACAGGGACCCATAATCTTGAGTTCACTGAAGTTCTCGCAATTCACTGCAATTTCTTCGAGAAGATATGGTGGATTCGCTATGGTAGGCATTGTCAAGGACTCCAGATCTTTCCAGCCACGTATGGCTTTGATCATTCCTGTTTTCTTGATTCTGTTCCACGCTGGCAAAACAAGTCGTCTGAGTTTAGGGCACCTGCAACAAGGGATGACAGAAGATAATTATTGAACAAAGTAACCACATAAATAGAATATATTTTGAAAAGGCAACCACAACCACTTATAGCTTAAATACTTTTAGATGTTTTCCAGCAAGTCTATGATAAAAGAAAGCATTTAAATGAAACACCAATCCTGCCATAGCTAATGGTGAAGAGAATGCCAAGCAGCGCCTCAATGAGTAACAACCTTTTCTTGAAAATCAAGACCAAATGGCTCCTCAAATATTAAATCAAGTCGCATACTTGCATTATTTCATAGCTGTAATAATCAGTATAATCCTAAACATAACAGCATACAATGCAAAAGTTCAAGTTAACCCATCTAAACAAAAAGAATGGCCAACAAATCAGAAACCAAGAGAATATTACTTGTTCGGTTGTTGCTTTTAGCATTATAAATGAAACCTGAAATTACCTTTCAGCAGTGTATGTCAACTGATCATCGCTTATGTACAAGTTGAAATGAAGGATCAATGTCATTATGCTCCCCCTGCTTAGACTCAAAGAAATCTTCAACAATCGGGTCAATGTAGTATCCGATCGTCCATCAACATAGACAAATGGCTCTAATGGAATCTTGATGAAATTGGATTTTAGCATCGATAAATCAAGAGTTTTCCAAAGAAGGGGATCACAGCAAGCCATACGCCATGCACTACAAACATGAGCAATGCCAGAAGTTAACTGGAAGATGTCAAGCAACTGGAAAATCTTCACCAAAATGTCTATGTCGAGATCCTCCCATCTCGTTACGGAAGAACAATTGTCTTCCATTTTATCAGTTTTATGAAATTCTTAGCGCATTACAGTGAATCAAAAGATTCAAAACACCTGCAGACATGAAATTGAAAGCCAGTAATGAGTTTCAACCATCAAATTGAAAAACTATGATAGCAGTACTTTTTTCCTTAAATGTTTCATGCAACCATAGAGGATATGTTTAAATGGATCTTTTCTCCACAGGGGATATGTTTAAATGGATCTTTTCTCCTTTGAAGACTACAAGAATTTTATTTATATAACATAAAGGAAACTCTTAAACCAATCCATGCTTTTGTGCCTTTTCCTTTTACTTACTTTTTCCCTGACAATTTTTCTCACTTACTTTTCACACAACACATTATACATATTCAGTACTTCTCCCAACTATTTTCAACTCTATATATTTTCTATTGTGCTTTTCTTCCAAATGTTTATTATCAATTACATGCATTTCATAGGGAAAAAATGTTTGGAACGGAACGGATAGTGAGTCCTTTCACTTATGAATGGAATTGACACGACATGTTAACTCAAAAACTTAATACTGAATTTATAAGTCCTTTCATTTGTGTGTGTGTGTGTGTGTGTGTGTGTCTATCTTATTAAACCCTACTGTATCCAATGTGTGATTTCTCATATCAAGTCAAATTCATTACACTTGACATATTAACAAACATCCTAATAGAAAGTAAATCCAATAGGCACATCCAAGAAAAACAAGTTCTGATTAACCAAAGCTTCCTATTGCCTGCAGGAACAATTTTCTATTGTGATAACTGGTGCACAACTTGTCTTCCAACATTTCTTGAAAACGAAAAGGAAGAATTTTGAGTGGCAAGAACTCAAACAAGTGCGAATAACATGGGCTGCCAGTGTTGCTTAGCCTCAGTGTTTAACGTAAGATTATAAAATACTTCAATTCTTCCGAAGAAGGGAAACTTACAAGAGAATACTTGTTAATGAAAACTAAACTGCTAGAAGGCAAGTATGAGAATTGAATGGGTTCCTGAATATAATTAGGAAAACAAACCCAACTAGACTCCTCAGTGAATGGATTCCTGAATATAATCAGTAACAATACCGGGCTTTTCACAGTGCTAGGCTCGACAGGAATAAGCCAATCAGTAAATTATGTCTCGTGGAATCTCCACTTCTCACTCCAAAATTTTAAGACAGAACATTTGTACTTATCGACAATTCAAAATCAGAGGGGGCCTTTAGCAGAAAGAATCAGCTTCAAGAAATGAGAGGTAGCAAAGACACAGAGTGCTTCATTATAGTTAGACTCGGGTTTCAAGAAAACATCAGAACTTGATCATTACAATTGAAAATTGAAATCCCAAGCAAGTGAGACAGGAAGAAGAATGAACCAGATTAACAAAGACAGAGAACCCCTTTTCGTGACTCCGTCCGCTACACCCGAAGCCTCCCAACAAAATTGTGATTCTATATCACAAGATCTTTGAAGTGCCCGATCAAGAAGAAACAAGTATCCCGATCAACCAAATTCCTTCAACCCATAAAATGAAAAAAAGGGGGGACAAAGAAAAAGAGAGAGAGCCAAATTCAGGCCGAAACGATAAAGAGTTCGTCATTTCGGACAAAGATCTATCAACCGGGATCAAATTTACACGCGCAAATAGAGATGCATGGAAAAAAAAAAAAAGTACTATTAATAATAATAATAATAATGAAGTGTAACAGAACTGGTGAGAAAAAAGAGGGGATTAACCTTCAAGACAGAAGGTGTCAGCATTTTTGTGGTGGAAAGGGGTGTGATGGTTGAGTGAAGCAATTTGTGAAGAAGGAGGAGAGAGCAAAAGGTTTATGATTTGTCGATGGTCTTTGATGCGGATTCCAAGGGGCTCAATGAATTTACCGAAACAGCCTCTCTGTACAATTTTGAAACGAACTCGCCGCAATCAACTTTCGCTGTGTTTAGTTTCGTGGTGTGGGCAAACGGGTCGTCAGCTCCGGTCTTTCTTGGTCGTACGTTGTGGCTTGCTCATCACGTGAATCCAACAAGGTCGAAACTTGAAACGCCTCGCCTGGTTATTTTATTTTAAAAAAAAAAACTATTTATGGCAATCTAAAGAGCAATGTTTTAAGACCCGAACTGACCTGAATAGTCAAACCATCACCCGTTGAAGAAAACAAGTTGGTTTAACCAATTAACTTGTATTAGCAGTTGGCTTGCCTAGAACTGCATGGTTTTTAAAAGCTCGGGAAAAACTTGAAATTCGGAACGAGTTTTTGTAGGTCAAAAGCAGGTCATAAAAAGAGGACCAAATTGGTATTTTGAAAAATAAAAAACCCTTCTCCTCACTCTGTCTAGTAGATCGACACCCAAAAGGACCCATTCTTATTCTTTTTAGTCTCACTTCTCTTTGTCTGGCACGATGCACACATGCATTCTCGTCGCCTTCTCAAATCTCAGCCATCTGGGTTTTGTTCTATGTGTCTTCACCCTTAAGCCACTCAACCATATTGGCTCTGTCTTCATCGTCTTTGTCGTTCAGCCATCTTGGACTCACCTTCTCAACCATTTGGGTTTTGTGTTCCCCCTTCACTCTCTTCACTATTCAGCCTCAGCCATTTCGGACTTTCTCAAACTTCAGATGCTTCTTCATTCTTCAGCTTTACTTCACTTTCTTCATTTTGGTTTGCGACTTTGCATTCTTGGTTAACTCCAGTGCAAGCGTGCAGCTGTCAAAGATAGTCAAATGGTAAGAGTTGTTTATTGCAAATAGAGGTTTTGGGGCTGTTTAAAACTGTTTTTATTTTATTGTTTTGAGAACTGATGTTTTGTAAAACATGTTTTGAGAACAAAAAATTAATAAAAATAGATTTTTTTTATTCTCTCTTGTTCTCCAGAACAATAATAACAGAACACTTAAAAGTTGTTTTCATTTTTCTATTCTCCAGAATAATATTTTATTTTTTTATTTCTAAAATACTTTTTGAAAAATGTTACCAAACAAATTTTTTTTTTGTTCTCTTGTTCTAAAGAATAGAAAATTGTTCTCAAAATAGATTTTCAAACAGGCCCTTTATTTTTTTCAAGTGATTATGCCTGAATCCTAATACATTTGAGAATCTAGTGTTGTTTGCTAGCTTGTTTCTTTTATATATATATATATATATATTATATAATATATATAATATAATTTTTTATTTAATTATTAGGTTACCGATCCAACCACTGGTCTGACCGGTTGAACCATGAGACTCATGACTCATTAACATTTTTGGTTTGCTGTTCGATTCGGGTTTTAAAACATTGCTAAAGAGCCTATGTGCACTGGTCTTGACTTCAAAGTCCAGAGCCTTGAGACGGGAAAATGGTATTGTTGTTTCGCTTCTGGATTAATAACAAAAAAGTAATAATGATAATAAAAAAATAATTTATAGATCTTTTTTATTTTTATTGATTTTGAATAGATTCTTATAATTTATTTTATTTTTATTAAATTTTTATAATTTAATCGATAGCCATTGATGATTAAAATTATTAATGAATAATTAACATTTTCAAAACAAAACACTTTTAAAATTTATAGAAAAATTGATTTAAAAATTTTAGCAAAAAAAGCAACAAGAATTTGATTTATTACAATGTTTTTATATTTTTATTATTTTTTATGAAAATTATATATATATGAAGTTATCTGGAAACATAGTCTAATGTATAAATTTTGAGTTATAAAAAATTATGTAATTAATCTTAAAGTTATATAATATTTTAATAAAAATATAAATGTATTTAATTTTATTTTTAAAAGAAAAAATTTAAGGATTTTAACTCTTAGGGTTTAAGATTTTAACTCTTTCTATAAGCGTCTTTTAACCATTTTATGAAGATTAAGAAAATTGATTGATTTAGTTGGGAGATAAATGTGTCAATAATTGGCACCATTTTATTTAAACATGCACTTTTAATGTCATTATACTTATTTTTTTGATAAAAATGTGATTATACTTATTAGTTAATCAATTAATTTTGTGTAATTAATTGGGGTAATTTTGTCAGAAAATTAATGAGATAGACAATGGCAAAAGAAGGCTTATATTTAGAAACAAGCTGAAGTTGGCAAAAGGAGCCTATAAAAGGAATAGAGGGAACATGTGTCTTTCATGTATTATAGAAACATGAATAGCATTTTTTTTATTGTATATAAAAGTTCTTTTATTTGAAATAATCCACTTGAAGATATAGTTAGACATTGAATATAAATATATTTTCTATTTGTTTTTTGAGCAAAAGATACATCTTCCATTTGAAATTTAGGTTTTAGTTCATTACTTTGTGATAAATTAATCCAATATGTTAGTCTTTAAGTACAAATTTTACTCCCATGTATTGTAGCTATGGACAAAGCCTATTAATGTTTTTTTTTTTTTCCCCGGCTAACAACAAAACCTATTTTGCGTAGCTGGTGAGATGTTGGTAAACAAATTGTGGTGTTTTGACTTTTGATACAGTTATCAAGTTGTTTGCACTAAAATGATAACGATAACAAATAGGATATAATAAGGTAAATATAATTTTTAATCTTTATATTTTATTTATATTTTATTTTTTATCTTTATATTTTTTTATATTTTATATCCCTACCTTTTTATTTTTTATTATTTTGAATCATTTTAAGGTTTCTATACTTTGCTCATAGAGGAACCAAAAACAATAAAAAATAAAAATATAAAAACTTAAAATATCCAAAAAAATATAGAAATCAAAAACAAAATGCAAGTAAAGTATGGAATTAAAAGTTATGATTGCCCAATAAAATAAAAATCCAAACAATTTTGATTTAGAATAAATCTCGTGTCATTTAAGCATTATAAAACATGAGAAATAGTGGCTATTCAAGACTTATGGCAGGACTTTAATCCAATTAATGTTCAAGCTATCCTCATCAAAACTCACGGGCATAGTTCGCTTCCACAATGAAATATTGATAACCGAATCGTAGTATGGGGATGTCAAATATAAGCATCAAGTATACTTAAAGCCTCATTAAGATTCTATGTGGACTCTCATGTCAATTCTATGTAATGTCCTTACATTAACGTTTGGTGTGACAGCATACCCTGATTCCTAATTGCTAACTCTGCAGATTCAATACTTCAAATTTGCATTCAATTACTAATTCTTTTTTTAAAAAAATCTCTATTCTCCTAACCCCAATGTTACTCTAGAAATTGAGTGGCCAAGCTGCTTCCTACCTCTACCTCCCTCCACTCTACAATTGATGCAATGACCTGTTGATGATATTGAGATTAAGAATGCCGCCTTTTTTATGGGTGCCTTCAAAGCTCCTGGACCTGATGGTTTGCAAGCACATTTTTTTTAATCCTAATGGAATGTTGTGGGTGACAAAGTTTGTACCATGATCAAAGACATGTTCCAAAATCCTTCTATTATGTCAAAAGTGAATTTCACTAACATCATTCTTATTCTAAAGGTTGATCATCCTGCTTCCCTCAAGGAGATGCGACCTATATCTTTATGTAATGTTAGCTTCAAGATCCTCACAAAGCTTCTCACCAATAGATTCCAACAATCTATGCAAAGCTTAATTGGCCCTCAATAATGCAGTTTTATTGCAGGTAGATCTAGCTGTGACAGCATCATAATTGCCAGGAGATTATTCACCAAATGAAAACTAAGCTAGGTAGAAAAAGATTTGTTGCAATCAAGGTTGACATGGAGAAAGCCTTTGATCGTCTTAATTGGAAATTTCTAAAAGAATCATTACTGCTCTTGGGTTTATCCCATAGCTTTATTAGCATTATAATGGCAACAATCTCATCAGTCTCCTTGAGAGTCTTATGGAATGGTAAAGCTGGACCTTCTTTTACCCCTTCAAGGGGAGTTCGCCAAGGGGATCCTCTAAGTCCCAACCTTTTTATGATTCGCATGGAAAGACTTGGCCACTTGATTCAATATGAATGCGAGTAAGGAAGATGGAAACCTTGGAAGTTTGGTGTTGATGGCCTTATCCTCTCTCATCTTTTTTTTTTACTGACAAACTCCTTCTCTTTATGGATGCAACCTTAAGCCAAATGGAGGAAGTCAAACATGTCATGCAGCATTTTTGTGTTGCTTCTGGACCAATGTTGTGAAAACCAGACTGGACCAGACGGTCCGATGGGTCCGACCGTCGCCCGCTGAACAAAACAGTCCGGTTCAACCAATTGAACCAATCTAACCTTTGACTCGGATTGAACCGGCCAATTTTGAGAGAACCGACGTTGACCTGAAAACCAGACCTGGGTCAACCCGGTTCAAAGCCAAAAAAATTAAAAAAAAAAAAAATTTAGGCTGAGTTACTTAGATTCACAATTTCTCTTCTCTAATCATTAATTCTCTCTTTTCTTCTCTTCTCTAATCTCTAATCTCTCCTTCATGGCCCAAACTCAATCTTTAACTTCTCCTCTAACATTTTCCTCTAACTCTAAAGATCCAACCTTTAGCATCGAGATCGAAAACTTGTGAGTCATGATATGACAGCATGCCTCCAGCTCTAACATTTTCTTTTAAGATCAAAAGCTTGTACTAACATGCCTCTATCTCTAGCTCCAACAATTCAAGCATCTAGCTTTTGAGGTCGAAATCCCAAGTATCATTGACAAACTAATGTTTTATTTATATAATTGTGCATATAAATTTTATTTTTATTTAATTTTTATGTCACCGATTCGACCACCAGTTTAACCGGTTGGACCATAAAAACCGTAACCCGTTGCTCTTTTCGGTTCAATGTCCGGTCCGAGTTTTAAAACATTATTCTGGACAAAAGATTAGTCTTGATAAATCCAAAATCTTTTTCTTCAAAAATGTACACATCAATCGATCCGTTGCTCTTAGTCGCTCTCTCGGTGTTGGCCTTACGGGTGATTTGAGTAAATATCTTGGT